ATATATATATATATATATATATATATATATATATAATATTTGCGGCGATAGAGTAACAGATTATCGTCTAGTGTTGCACGAGAATTCAACATACACTCGGACTGAAAAAAAAACAAGTCGTAGGGACACCATAATTTTTTACCTAGAAAACCTGGAAAAGGAAAAAACATCGAGGTCTGGGCCAGATGAAGAGATGTACTATAACTTCATGATTACAGTTACAACCTCTTATCCCACAGGTGGGAAAAAATTATAGAATCTCTTGAGTTACAACGTTGGTGTGCGGATGAACTTGTCATAAGAAGTGGGCAGCGGCCGATAGTAATTGGCGGTAGTCGGCGAGTGGTTGTCAACTGCGACCGGCGATGAGTTGATGTTGGACTTCAATTCCTTCTCTAAGTCTCATTCTTATTAAAGTTTCAAGCTCTCAACCTTTTTCAAGAGAGGGTTAAGGCTCTATTTATAGAATCCTGGTTGCAATTAATGCACGAAGGAATATGAATCACTTTGATCAGGCGGTGGGGAGGAATTCCTTCAATCAAACGGTGCTTGATGGGCATTTGAGTGTCTTAATGATGTCGAATTGAGTGATATTGGGCTCGTTGGATTAGTCTTATCGAGACACTCGATTTGGCTATAAGCTCATCAGATTCGGCGTTGATTTAATTTCCAAATATGCCCAAAAAGACTCTAAAAACAGTTTAATGACTTGATATGAGCTCGATTTGACTCGAATTGGACTAATTTCGAAACATTTGGGTCCATATTGTTGAGTCGGTTAGTTTCACTATAAGTTCACTGAAACTCAAGGTCTAGATGACACTATGACTCTCAATTGAAGTTTAAATATTTTTTGCTTAAAAGAATATCTTGAAATTTATGTCATATCTCTAGATTCATTCTGAATGTTGAAAATTAAAAGATAAAAAAAAAACATTTTTAACCTTTTAAAATAGAAGGCTAAACCATGCATATTTACATTAATTGCATAAACAACACACCATCTCTTGCTTGCTCTTTGAACCTCTCCATATTAGTCTTCTATGTTTCTTGGCTTAAGATATCCAATCCCCAGCTTGCACGTAAGTCTTCTTTTTCTTCCAGGTGGTTATATTGGCATATTTTAATTACATATCTTACTCGAATGGCGAAGAATAAATTTCATTTCCAATGTCGAAAGCTGCTCGCCAACCATTTTCTCAACTTGTTCCTTCCGTCGTCGCTTACTCGCTTGTGTTCAGTTGAGTTCTTCTTGTGCTGTCATTCTGTTTTTTGAAGGTTTTTTTCTTGGTCTCTTTTACACATTTTTATTGTACTTGACATATTTGCTTCTCACATATGTACAGATTTTGTAGTAGATGTTCTTAATTTTACATTTCCTTTTTTTTTTATATTTTCATTCCATCTCTTTCAATTTTACAAAACCAAAATGAGCCAACCTTAGATTTGTCGAGTAATATGTGTTGTTGAATTCTAGATTGTTCTGCGAAGCACACCAAGAAATAGAATTAGAATTAGAAGGTAGAAGAGAGAGAGAGAGAGAGAACAGATGGGATTACTTCGGATAGTTCATTAGCTCTTTATTGTAGAAATGACCTCCTATTTATAGACTTAATAGGCATGAAGTGTATAATTACTTGTTTGCCCCTATCTGATTAAGGACATCACGTCATATTATGGTCATAAAAGAATGAATGAATAAATAAATCGATAAATATATTTTTTGTTGATCATTTCACGTACAATTCTAGTCAAAAAAAAAAATAGTCTAATTTTCATTGTAGTTGACATTTTTACATATTTTGTATTATGCGTCTCTCTTATTTCTTTTTTTTTTTTTTTTTCATTTCAACTCTTTCAATTATTCAAACCAAAATGATCTAACCATAGTTTTGGTTGAGTAAAATGTACACTCTTTTCTTGTTCAGCTTTTCACCAAGTTATTTTGCGCACTTAAGAAGTTCTGCTGACTGATAAAAAATGGGAACCGAACCAATGCAAACTCTCTGATTGCTAAATGAGCTAATAACTTAAATATTAGCCATCCCTTTTTAAAAATATTAGCAAAAAATGTATTTTAAAATAATAGGAGATATTTATGTATATACCATTGAATTTTTATGAGATTTTTTAATCACAAAATAATGAAAAATAACTTAAATTTTAACTACTCAGACTGGGGAAATATTTGCGTACGTAATACCCCCATAATAACCTATGATTAACATCAAGGTTTTTGGAAGGTTATTAAGGTTATAAATTAGTAGAATTAATACCACAATAACTTCCCAATAACTCCCTAATAACTGCGAAGCAGAGGTTATCGCAGGGCTATTACGCACGCAGCTCTACGTGTGTATTCAAATATTTCCCCTCAGTCTGAGTGTACGGTACTATACTCGTTAAACTCGAGTTGAGCAAATTATTGACAACGAAAGTTAATAAATTTATTCTGCACCCTAAAAAAAATATGTGGCGCTATTAATGTAAATAGAATGACCCAGATGTCATTTTCATAAATCTGTAAAATTTGAAATTTATGAATTAATTTGATTTAGTTGTTCAACATTTATAAGTTGTTAATCTTCATTTTAATTTTTAGGTAAATGGAGGATCATTTTGTGCTTCATGTGGACACCTTGCTGAGAGAATCAACAGCTGCCGAAGGAAGAAATTTATTAGCTGAAAAAACAACCAAAAATAACAGTAATGGAACAATAAATAAGCCTGTAGATTGCCGCATTTGCCATGATGAGGAGGAGGTTTATAACATGGAAACTCCATGCTCGTGTTGTGGGACTATGAAGGTATATAATATTTGATATTTTTTTTTATTTTTTTCTATTATTATACAAATGAATATATAATATAAATAAATACTTTTCATTGTAGTATGCTCATCGAAAATGCATACAGAGGTGGTGCGATGAGAAGGGAGATATCACTTGTGAGATATGCCGTCGGGTAATGTACATTATTTAGAAATATTATTCTTATACTTAAGTTTCTTTGCATTGCTATTATGCATTGATAATGTTGTGATATGAGGAGGGTAATGGTTTGATATGATTGCTTTTCAAAGGGTTATATGAATTAAATCAATATTTAATAAAAAAAGGGAAAGATTTAAGTGCATAGTATATAATTCTTTGGTATTCATATATCTAATATTTAAATTTAAATCTTTAATTATGTCAAGCTAAAATTTTTAATATCACATAAAAAATATCATTGATATTAATTATATATATGTATATGTATGTATATGTATATCTATATATATATATATATATATATATATATATATACGCCACATTTCTAGATCACTTAGTAGAACATCGGCTTTGTCCGTTATAAGTTTCCTTTGGTCTAGGGTTCGAATCCCCCCTTGCCTATGAATGAGGTTAGTACTCGAGTGGTTAGGCATATACATATATATATATATATAGTTTAAATAATAATTATTCTTAGGTAATAAAATCATTATAAATAGTACATAACATGATAATGAAGTTATTTATTTATTATTGTCAAATTCAAAATTGTCTGCAGACATGCGAAAGGAATAGAGCGCGAAGAGAGGAAGAGAAAGTGAGCTTGGTAATGAACAGTAAAATCGCATAACATTTATTCATGAAAGGAGCTCATATTTATAGGAATGAGGGATGTAAAATTATATTTTGTTCCCCTAAAAAAGTAGGTACAGTTGGAGCATTTTGGTCCATACATAATTATAAGGTCGGGAGCCTGAAATGGTGTCTGGCCTAGGGCTATAAAAAAAGCTCGTTGTTCATGAACAGTTCGTGTTCGGCTCGTCGAGGAGTTCGTGTTCGATTCATTCGTTAAACAATTTTTTTTTCATTTGGTTTATAAACAAACCAAACACAAACAGTCATTTGTTCGATCGTGTTAAGATCGTTATTATTCGAAATATAAAATAATTTAAAATAATTATATATAAAAATTTATCATATTTTAAAAATAATTATATACTCTAAAAATTTATAATATTTTTAAACATCAAATCCTATTAATTATAATCTGATTTTCAGGTTCGCCTCGTAGCTTGTATTAAATTCTATAATTTCATATTTATCTTCAAGTTCGTCTCTTAGCTTAAATTTTCTTATATTTCTTTTAGATTTATTTAGTTTTTTCTTTCAGATTTATTTAGTTTCTTGGAGTGAAACATAGTTTATGGAAGTGAAATCTCACATATTTCCTCTATGTCTGAATTTTTTTATGGATGGGATATGATATTATAGTTTTATTGTGAGTTGTGCTTCGACTATTTTGCATCAATGTTGTGATTCATACAGATTTAAGCATTAGTTTCATATAGGTTTAAACTTTTGAAAGATTTTGAACAATTCGAACAACACAAATAAATTTGTAAGATTTCGAACAATTCAAACAATTCGAATAATTTGAAGAATTTGAACATTTCAAACATTTCAAACATTTCAAACAAATCAAATCGAACACGAACAGTAACTTTGCGAACAAATTCAAATACGAGCATATTTCAAACACACGTAATTTCAAACGAACCGAAAACAAGCACGAGCTCTGTTCGTTCGTATTCGGTTCGTTTACACCTCTAGTCTGGCCGGATGGGGCCAAAAGTCTGAAATCGTGTCCGGCTGGATGGGGTCGATAGCCTGAAATGGCACTCGGCCGGATTTTGGGTCAGGCGGCCACGAGGCGAGAGGCTGATGGAATGACCGGCTAGGTCATTTCTCGTGTGACTAATGTTGAAGGGTTGACTGAGAGGTTCCAACCTACTGCTTTAGATCTGGATGGTTTTCATCATTCGTCCGACCTAGTTGTGGAAAGCCAGCAAATTCAGTCTAGTGAGGTTTGTCTCAGTAGGCTTTAGTAGGGTGGTTAAATTTTGTTCATCTCAAACTTATTTTTTTCTTGGCCCAAATGAGCTGGCCATATAGATATGGTTCCTGTAAATGTCCTTGGCGGGTCCCAGAGCACCACATCATCTTCTTTGTCGACCATCAAATCATTTTAAGGTTCGTGCAAACACATTTTTTATGTACATATTTAAGTTTATCGACTCTCTTATTCCTTGATAGTGATAGTTGTGATAAGAATAAGGGGATCTTAATTTTCAAAAAGCCGTTGATATTCAAGATTATTAAATATGCATTTATTGAACACTTCTAGAATTTCATGTGAAGACCCCTATAAATTAGGGAGAATTGAAGAAAAAATATATCTTATCTTAGCCTTCTTTGAGAGGGTCATTTTTTTTATTTTTGTCAGTCATCATGGAGAGTAGTACCGGTGAGGATGCCTGGAAGATGGTTGTTCAGGTGATGAAGCAGTGGGCGAACGTTTTGTCCGTGAGCGCGCATCCTAAAAAACCTCCAATGGCAGAAGGCAGAAGCCAGATTCTCTGAGCTGGGGGACAAAGTAGGGTCATTTGATTCACTTTTTGACCACCCTATATAGAGATCCCAAGTGAGAGAGGGAGACTTCCTACTGAAGAAACATTGAATGTTAAGGTTAACCCATCTGGAAAGTTAGTCAGCGGAGCCGTTAACTTCTGCCTGAGATCCTTCTATGTTGGTGGAAAAGCATAGGCAAGATCCTGTAGCTACAGGAATAATGATAATTTTTTACAACAACATTTTGTCATATTATCTAAGGAAATACCGCAGCTTTCGATATTTTTATCCGCTCATCACTGCTTTTTACGCTCATAGCTGAAACACTTGTCTCAAATCGACTTATATTCCGACGACATAAACTTACTGACAAATAACTGAAAAATTATATTTCATCACTTTTTTTGAGTAATTTCAAAGCGTCAGTTTTCAACAATTTACCAACAATTATTTTGTCTGCAATAGAGACAACTTCAACATCAAAAAGTGTCGCTCCCGTCGTTTTTTTAACGTATGCTTGTCATCGATTACGTGTCGTTGATGAGCCGGCTTTTATAGTCGACAAAGAAACTATCAAAAAAGTGTTGCGACCATCGTTTCCTTATGATTTTGTCAAATCAGCGGGTCAGGATTAGGCGTCGGTCAATAAGTTCATCTGCTAGTCGTCAGTTATAGCTACTAATATGTAAGAAGTATTCATCAAACCATCGGTATGACATTGGAAACCTATAGCATCAGGAAAGAAAATAGATTCTCATGTTCGTATTTACATTAACACACCTATTATCACAAAATTTATTTTACCAGTCCAAGCATTTAAAGAAGTAATATAGCATTTGAAAAGTAAATTATCCAATAAAATAATGAAAATAAAATGCATTTAATCTGACATTGATATAATACTATTCAAAGAAAAAATATATGTTCAAATGTATAACATAATCATAAAAAAAGAAAAATATCCCCCATAATCCTCCTCCTCTATTTTCTCTTCCTCATCCCCATTGCCCTTCGCTTCTTCCTTCCCCTCCTCTAATGCTGCCTGGTCACGCTGCCTCATCCACTACCAAAACCAATCTTACTTGGCCTTCATTTTAGCCTCTATGTTTTTTTCTAGCTCCAACCTCATCTTAGTGAAGCGGGCCTCCATCTTGATAGTGAATATGGAAAAACACCTGGAGACCTCCTCCTTTCGTGTGGAAGAGGTAGAACCTACAGATGCACTGGTGGAGTGGTGACCGTCGTATGCAAATGCTTGTGACCTGCCCTTCTTCTTCCCTTCAACATCCTTCTTCAATAGGTCGTACTCAGAAGAATCACGATCACAAATCGTAATATAGCCCGATGCCTGGGATCAGCTCTCTTTCAGCTGCTAGAATCTCTCATGTAAGAAAAGGTAATTACATATAGTTAGAGTTGACATGTATTAACATAAAACTAGTTCAGTTCATGAATTACCTGGGTTGCATGATGTCTGTCATCAATCCAAGACTGTTTGGGTTGCCTTCTGTGGGTACGCTTATGTATATCGGTAGTGGAGGGCTTCCATCTTATTGTCACAATCTTTTCATATAAGAAAATAGTTAAAATATATATTTGATTTACAAAAAATTTAAAGAAGGAATGAAATCTTACCACCCTCCACTTGTATTATGTATGTGGGAGAGCTGCACCAGTGTGCTTGGAGGGCCCCATCCCTCCATAGTCTGACTGTCCATTCTTCTTTGCTTGCTCCCACTTATTTTATTACTCTGAGGAACCTCAGGCCGTGAGAGGTGTGGCAAGAATATCCTCTCCAAGCTACAAAGGACACTATTGTGATTTCTGAATATCACTGAACATGTCTTGTAGGTGATCCCTGCCCTTCCGCTCCAAGTTTCCTCGGATTTATGTCTCGTGCTTAGGGTGTCAGGAGAACTATTTCTACAAAATTATAGAGCTTATGTTAGTTTTAAAAAAGAATAAAGAAAACTTAAGATATTTGTGAGCTATACATGCCACAAACTCTTAAAACCAACAATCTCAAATGGTCATCAGGATTTCCTTCTACAACAAGTGTGTTGAGTCGTACTTGCTCCAAATGATATCTTGAATGCCATGAATAGTCTGGGATGGGGGTATAACCTCAAAACAACAAATTATTAGTTTTCTAATCAATTGAGAAAATTAAATGTTTATTGTCAATGTCTTAAAAAAACATATGTGTTGCAAATAAGCTCAACATGTTGCTACCTGTCGACTCTTCCCCAGTAAAGGAAACATGGGCCTATACTGAACTCAAGCCCACTAAAGCACAGGTGGAGGTAGGGGTGGGGGTGGTTGTAATAGTGGGGTGGGGATGGTGGTCGGGGCAGCAATGAAAGTGGGGGTGGGACTGAGGCTAAGGTTAGGGGTGGGGCGGAGGCAAGGGCGGGGATGGCGGTGAGTGTGGAGTTGGGGCCAGTGGTGGGTATGGTGATCAAGTTAAGGGTAGGTGCAGGGGTGGGAGTGGGTGTCAAAGTCAGGCAACCTCTTCTGACGTGCTTCTTCATCAGATAATGTTGTGCTCCACGCCCCCCCCCC